GGTGACAGTTTGATGTATTCTTAGTGTCTTACTTTATTTTGTAGTGATGGATCAAACTATTGTGGGTCAGGTTTTCACGGCCTTTCTGTCCTCCCCCCCCCCCTTCCCACCCAGCCCTCAAAAGCTTTAAAAGCCACAACTGGTAGTGGCTCTCTTCTTCTTGTTCACACCTCTCTCTCCACATTGCAGCTGAGCTAAGAACAGTTTGAAATATGCATCCTCAAGTTTACCCGACTGAAGCCGTGCCATTGCAGGGTGTGAATTATGGCGGACTCCCTGGTCAGCCTGGGGTGGTCCAGCACACTGCTGTGAACATCACAAGAGGGCAACCAGTCATCACAGAGGCCCCCAAAGACTATATTATCTGGTCGCTCTGCTGCTTTGTCTACTCAAATCCTTTTTGCCTTGGACTTGCAGCTCTCATTTATTCCATCAAGGTGAGTTTATTGTGACACATTTTAATTTCTTAGAAATAGCTTTTTTATGTGTTTGCTCTACGTGATAAGAGAAGATAAAGTTATCCAACATTTTGGGAAATGGATTTGATACAGAAGCCAGAAAATTAAAGGTAACCAAGAATAAAAGAATATATAAACAAAAACAAATATATATGTTTTCAATAAAATTACATGCAATATGATAAAAATGTTAAAAATGGAAAAGAAAGGAGTTCAATTAAATGAAATAAGAGTATCAATACATTTTTATTTTGTATACATAATGTGAAACAAAAAAAAATGAGATAAAATTTAATAGAACATTATGTAAAACATTGAAAATGATACAGGACATAACACAGGAAGATAAAATGAATGAAGTGAGATTGAGATGGAAAAATTGTAATACAATGCAGTAAAAGAACAACAAAAGGAGTGTAATATTCTGGCTTCATAAAATTAACCAGCTCAACTCAAATAAAGGAAAACTGAAATTAAACTTTTACTTAAATTTTACTGAAATTAAAGGCTTACTAAAAGTAGTGAAAGCAATACAGAAAATATCAGGCTGAGACAATAAAGGACTAAATAAACTATAAACACAAAACTGATTTATGGTAACTTCAAACAATATAAGCTACCCCCTTTACATTTTGAAAATTAAAAAAAAAATCAGTGCTCACAAAACAGAATCTTGTTATTTTCAGGGACTATTAGAGGATTATACATGACATCTGATGTTTTGAGTTGTGAAAATGTGCTTGAATCCATTTTTCAAAGTTGAGAAAAGTATATTTTCATCCTTGCAGGCCAGAGACAGGAAGGTGGTTGGAGATGTGGACGGTGCACGGCATTATGGTTCCACTGCTCGCAGTCTCAACATTGCAGCCACAATCATAGGTGCCATTGGGTTCTTCATTTTCATTATTACAATCAGTGTTATTACGACTCAAGCAGCTTCCTATTACAGGTACAACTATCGATATTAATTATATTTAAGCATTTCCTCCTGTTGTGGTTAGGTCACATTTGTGTTTTCCTGCTTAAAATAAATTTTGCAACATTTTATAACTTTTTAATTGCATCATCTGGGGTTAAAAAAAAACATTTTACAAAAGTCTTAAATGGAAGTCATCTCAATTTCTTTACTGGTGAGTTTTATTTTGAGACTTTGTCACTTGATGCAGAAATCCTGTCAGTAAATAATTAAGAATTAAAAAGCTTCACATTTCAATAAAGGTCTCTCTATTTTACTGTACTTTACACATTTCTGATTAATTAAAAATTGGAGGAACTGGATGTCATCAACTGGTAACATAGATTTTTTTTTCATACCACGAGTGGGTAAAAGGCCAGAGTGGTGAGTTATCTTAGAAACCTAGAAATGTCCCTGGGCCAGACATTTGAAGCAGCCTGTAAGCAACAAGTAATTATAAACTTCAAACCCATATGAAGGAACTAATGAAAAAAGTAATATTTATTTATTGCTTCACTTTTAAACTTGATCACATCTGAAAGCATGCACAAGAATAAGTGCATAAAAATAACTGAACCGAATCTGAAGTTGCAGTAATAGTTTAAAAACATCAAAGTCATGACTGAGTTTATTGGAACTGACTCTGACCAAGGAGAAATGAAGACATTTCAGCAGTTCAGAATATCTTGAGCAACAATTAGGTGATTACTAAAGTCATTATGTTTCACCATCTCAGGAACACAAAGTCAAAATGAAGTAGCAGTAATAGTTAAAAAAACCCAAAAAAACCCCAAAACAATAAATTTTGCTCAAATCGGACATCTGAATGTGCACAACGTTAATGATTCAATCATACCAAAGCCATCATTGCAGAAAATCATTACATTATACCCTGATGGAACATAATTTTACCTGTAAGTCAGGCATGGCCTGATACACATCCAGTAATGTTAATATTTAGGCTACAGTTACCCTGTTTACATTAGTCGGAAAAGTTATTTATCCATTTTTTGTTCTGTGCATTGAATGGGAGCTGATTTTTATTGAGTTCATGTGAGAAAAGCCTGAATCACAACTGTATGTTGATTCAAACATAATGAGCATGACTGCAAGTTTGATAAGGGCAATGATGTATGTTTGCATCATTCCCAAACTTTGGCTACATATGACTGCATGTCAGCAAGTTTGATTAGGTTGTGAACTTTCTCTCCCTCACCTTCATTGGCTTTGCAAATCCATCTCATTGACCACAAACACTCTTTTTTCAGATGGTTGAATATATCGCTACAATGTAGCTGCCATCACCAGTGTGTGAATGTGTGTGTGAATGGGTGGATGACTGGATGTGTAAAGCGCTTTGGGGTCCTTAGGGACTAGAAAAGCGCTATACAAATGCAGGCCATTTACCATTTACCATTTACAACAAAAACCGACACTGCTCTCCAAAAACTGTTGCTCCCTGGTGGACAAAACCCTGTACACCCCCTGTTACATCATAACAGTAACAAATAAGAATAAATATTTAAAAAATGTTTATGTTTTTGACAACTACTGAACAAATGTGTACTTACAGCAAGTGTATGGTGAACCCACTGGGACCTGTCCATCTGAACTAATGACTGTAGAAAACATGGATGACCTGAAAGCTCCCCAAAAATGAAGCCAAAGCATCTGTATTACCCCCTCTTGTCTGGCTGCCTATAGGTCATAAACGTAATCCATTAAAGTTTTCCCTAAGATGCTTTCTGTCATCATTAGCAGTGCTCATGATTTGCACTCAATGGGTCTCCTTTGCCATAAGTTTGACTCTAATTATGACTATTATGATTAGTCTTTAGTCAGGGTAAATTGTTCACTGAAGTCAGTGCTCTAGTTCAGATATTTGCTCTGCTGTTCTGACAGAACAGAAAAATGTTCAGACCTGCAGCTGAACATGAGGCACTGAAATGGTTTATATCAGAAAGTGAGAAAAGTCACTGGGTTTTCAGACACTAACTAGCGTTACTGTTACTTTGCATTTATTATGAATGTTGGACCATAAGAGCAATAGGTTGGACTCTAACCTCCTCCTATTAAATATGTGCATACAGCAGCATGCTTTTGTCTCTCTCCACATCTGCAAGTAGAGAGACATACCAAATTAAAAAAGAAGCTTCCACTTCAATAATGTGTCATTAATCATTAATGGCAGACTTAATGAAGTTTTAGCAGAAGGTGAACTACTGTGGATTGAATAAGTATTCTTCACTCACAGACTGCAACATCAGTTCCAGTTTCCAGCTGATATCTCAGTTTGTTACTATCACAGCTGATGGTTGATAGTGATGGGGAGTGGGTCCTCAGTGGATCAGGCTTGGCTCAAGTGTGTTCCATGGATTCTTGATTGGATTTTGATCTTGGAGCATGGAGGCTCATAGGAATTTGACATGTTACTATGCGGGAGTGTGCTCAGTGTTTGAGTAGGTAGTCCATGTCAAAATGACTTCCACATAAAACCGAGGACCCAAGTTTCCCAGCACAACACTGTTGAAATACTATTTTCTGCAATATAAGGCGCACTTTAAATCCTTTAATTTTCTCAAAAATCGATAGTGCACCTTATAATTCGGGGCGCATTATGTATGAATTCTCGGTAGGGATGGGTATCGGTATCTGGTGCCATTATGGCACCGGTTCTGACATAAAC